ATTGCACACTATTTTGATTTATTATTATTATTATTATTGCAATTTTTGACTACACACCACATTTTAATTTACTTATTTTTATTTTTTCACTATTTGTTTTCAAATTTCATGTGAAAAGTAAGTATTTTACATTTAAAACATAGCAAAACAAGCACTGTTGACGTCACGAAAAAAGAGTACATTAAAATAACGGAATTGTCGGTGTCGCAATCTTGTTTATTTCATTCATGATAACAAAAGAAAGTAAAAAACAAAGAGACAAAATAAACATATATACAAACATACATTACATATATACATTTTTGTGTTTGTTGTAATTTGTGTGTTCCCTACACATTGTGAGTCGGTCTGATTAGTTCAATACTAATTATAACATCGACTTAAATTTTTAATTAAATTTCGAGTAAAATCTTTTTGGAAAAATATTTTCGCGAATTAGCGGTCACCCTACGCTGTTAGATCCGGCATATTAGGTACAATATAGGACCTGTAAACGGAACTATTTTGTAATATTTCTTCAATTAAAAGATTTTTTATTTAACTTTTTAGAAATATTTTTTAGCGATTTAGCGGTCACTCTACGCAGTTAGATTCGGTATATTAGGTACATTATAGGACTTGTATACGGAATTTTTTTTCTCAATATTTTTCAACCAACGGTCAAATTAGATAATATTAGTGCAGATCACTTACTGTTCTATTCATTGATTTGATTTTTTCGATATTAGTTTTCCTCATTTGGCTTTTTAATTTTCCATTTTAAACAATTTATTTGAACTTTTTCAATAATGGGCTCCACATTATGTGCTAAGTTCGCTTTAGAATGCGATAATTTAGTTGGATCTTGTTCCAAGTTTGATATAACTCCATTGGAAAATTTAACCGAGTCACTTCTCGAGACGAAATTGCAGTCCCTTGAATAGAACTGGCAATCAGTTCGAAAAGCCTTTGAGAATTTAATTTTAACTAATGAGAATATTATTCCTGAGAGCGAAAAATGCACGGCAAAAGTAAGATTTGGGTCGGTTAAGGACGAATATCAACGTACCAAGGCTAATATGATGGACCAATTGAAGATGCACAGAGCTTCTATTAATCAAGGTCTAAGGCCCGATCAACCGACTAACTCTACTTTGTTCAATACTTAATGCCACATTTAATGATTCGGAAATTTGTATAAAGGTTCCTCCTTGTGATACTCAGGAATTTTATGGGGGTTATGAGGAATGGCCATCATTCCGTGATATGTTTACCGCCATTTATGGTAATCACCCTCGAATGACACAGGCTCAAAAGTTATATCATCTAGTATTGTAGCTAAATATCCGCTTTCAGATCAGAATTATTTACTGGCGTGGGACGCGTTAAGGGCGCGATATGAGAACAAGCGCATTTTAGTAGATAATCAGTTGAAGATTCTATTTAATATACCAGCAGCAAAGGCTGAAAATTGCGAATCTATTAACAGGATTCAAACTACCATTAGCGATTGTTTGTCAATATTAAAGTCTCATGGTATACGAACCGATCAATGGGATCCAATCCTAATATATTTGTGTTCCACAAAATTACCTGATGAAACATTAGCTCTTTGGGAGCAATCGTTGAGTTCTCCAACTCGTTTACCTTCCTGGGCAGAAATGGAAGAATTTTTAATAAATAGACATCAGGTAATGGAAAGAATATCTACATTTAGAACTCAAAACCCAGCTTATGTTCCATATAATAATCAGGGTAGAAATTATAATATCTCTTCACAGCAGAATAAAGCTAGATATGCAAACCCGAACAAAGAAGCTCAATCGAAGAATGATGATATGCTTTGCAAATTGTGTAATAAAACACATATCATTCGAAATTGTCCTAAATTTCAAAACTTTTCAGTAAAACAGAGAATTGACTATGTAGAAAAGAACAAAATTTGTAGTAATTGTTTGTCTTCAGCTCACACAAATACAAATTGTCAAAGCGTTTTTACATGTGTCCAGTGTAAGAACAAGCACCACAGCTTACTTCATTTGGATAATTATTCCAATAACAAGAAGAATAAAGCAAATAAAAACAAAACGTCCAATACGTTTCATGCTGATCCCTCTCAGCAACCGGAGGACACAATAAACCGCCAACCACCATGTAGCTCAATGTCTACAGTACACAAGACAAACACACAAACAAACTTTTCTGTCAATGATGATGACATTTTATTACCTACAGCTCTAGTAGAAATTTTACATTTAGGAGAAGTATTTACAGTTAGAGCTCTAATAGATTCGGGATCAAAACGATAATTTTTAACTAAAAAAATATCAAAAAGGCTTGGTTTAATAACTCAAAATGCAAATTTTGAAATTTGTGGATTAGGGGGTACAGTGGTAGCAAATTCAAGAAAAATATCTACCATAACTTTGTGTAGAAAAAACCACGAGTTCTCACTCAGTACCCAAGTTATAATAGTTCCAAATTTATGCCAAGCTTCTAAACACCTAAAATTAGCCGATCCTAATTTCTTGGTATCTTCACAAATAGACATGCTAATCGGTAGTGATATAATTCCATATATCATTCAAGATGGAATACAAAAGAATATCTTAGGCAATCTCCTTGCTCAAAATTCCATCTATGGATGGTATATTTATGGCCCAATGAAATTACATAGCGTTTCTCTAACTGCTAATATTCAAAATAAGGAAGAAAATGATAAAATAAGCTCAATGCTTAGACTATTTTGGGAAACAGAAGAAATTCCAAAATCGAAAGTTCTATCAGAAACAGATCTCTACTGTGAAGAACTTTATAAAAAGACAACATATCGCAGAAGTGATGGTAGATATGTTGTAAAACTTCCTTTTAAACAAGAATTTCCAGCAAACTTGTATTTGCAATCTTCCAGATTCGCAGCAAAAAGTCAATATATTCATCTAGAGACAAAATTACAAAAACAAATAGATCTTCCACAGATTTATAATGATGTTTTAGAAGAATATATAACATTGGGTCATATGAGGAAAACAAATTCTTCCGAAATTTGTAAAGATGGAAAGTATTTTTCATATTATTTACCTCATCATGCTGTATTTAGACCGGAAAGCACTTCTACAAAAGTTAGAGTAGTCTTTAATGGTTCTCGCAAAACGAAAAGCTCATTTTCGTTGAATGATGTATTGCATATTGGTCCAACGTTGCAATCTGACTTAATGTCAGTTATTTTAAATTGGCGTATATATAGATACGTTTTCAATGGAGTTATCGAAAAAATGTATCGCCAAATATTAGTAACGGAAGCAGATTGTCCGTTTCAGAGAATTTTGTATAGAACAAAAACTTCAAGCAATATTGAAGATTACGAGCTGTTAACAGTCACTTTCGGAGTGAAATGTGCACCGTATTTAGCTATACGAACGTTGCTGCAGTTAGCAACAGATGTAGAGAGACAGTCTCCTTTGTCATCTCACATATTAAGACATGAAACATATGTCGATGATATTTTAGCTGGTGGACATACTTTGGCTTCAGCCCTAGAAGCGCAAAGTCAATTAATAAAGTCTTTAAAATCAGCTGGATTTCCACTTAAAAAAATTACGGCAAATAATAGCAAATTATTAGAAAATATTCCAACTGAAGATATTTTAAGTGCAGATTTCTTAAAACTTTACGATTCGAGCTCTACGAAAACGTTAGGTATTCAGTGGAATGCATACAGTGATTCCTTCACTTATAAAGTCGAAATCCCCAATTTCGCATCAAAATTGTTTGACCCCGCAGGGTGGCTAACGCCCATTATTGTTCAAGCAAAGATCCTTCTACAGGAATTGTGGCAAGATGGGGTCGAATGGGATGAAGATGTGAAACCTCAGACTCTTTCAAGGTGGAACATTTTCTTAGAAGATTTTATACACATAAGATCCATTCAAATCCCCAGATGGATCCATTTCCATCCAGATAGCAAAATCCAGATCCATGGTTTCTGTGATGCATCTGAACAAGCCTATTGCGCAACAATATATATTCGAGTGGAAGATGTGTCTGGCAGACATTCTAATCTGCTAGTAGCGAAAAGCAAAGTTGCGCCGTTGCAACGTGTAAGTCTTCCTCGGTTAGAGTTATGTGGGGCATTACTGCTCTCAAAACTAATTAAACAAACTCTAACTAAAAATTCATTTAAAAGTTCTCAACTTTTCCTGTGGTCAGATTCCACTATAGTATTAGCATGGTTACAAAAACATCCATCAGTTTGGAAAACATATGTTGCCAACAGAACATCTCAAATCATTGAAAATGTTGGTAATGCTAAGTGGAACCACGTTTTAACCCATGAAAATCCTGCAGATCTTGGAACACGAGGGTGTAAACCACAAGATCTTAAAAAAAATCCTTTATGGTGGTATGGACCAATGTGGCTACTTGACTACCAAGACAATTGTCCTAAATCGAACCCACCTGCCATAGCTCTTATGGAACAAAGGAAAGTTGAAGTTCACTGTTCCGTTACAGATGAACTCAATATAATCCAAAGATTTTGTTCATATCGGCGAGCCCTCGCCGTTATAGCATATATTTATAGGTTCTTACGTTCTACTAGTAAAAGATTAGAGAAAACTAAGTTTGAAAGTTTAACGCTCTCTCACGAAGAGCTTAATAACGCAAAAATTTTATATATTAGACTAACACAGAAGTTTCATTATTCTGAAGATTTAAAAAATCTTTCGGATTCTAAGCATATTTCAAAGAAAAGCTCTCTGCTTACTCGGGTTAATGGTAGATTAGCTAATGCCTCGCTTACGTACGATGAGCGATTTCCCATAATTATCCCTAACTCTTCTCAATTTTGCAAGATTTTTCTCGAGTTTGTCCACAAAACTCTAGTCCATGCTGACATAACCCTTATGATGAGCGCAGTAAGAAGCCAGTTCTATATTCCTGGTTTAAAAAGAACAGTCAAGAAATGCGTTCATCATTGTCTAACCTGTGTTCGTTACAAACTACAAGTGAAATCGCAAATAATGGCTGCACTGCCAAAAGAGAGATCCACTCTCTCATTACCGTTCTCACATACGGGTGTCGACTTTGCTGGTCCATTTCAGATCAAGTCTGGCAATTTGCGAAATTCACCATATATGAAAGGTTACGCATGTATCTTTGTATGTTTTGCTACAAGAGCCATTCATTTAGAAGCTTGCTCTAGTTTAGCATCAGAAGCATTTCTAGCTGCTTTTGTACGATTTATAGCTAGGCGAGGATTGCCAAAATCAGTTATGTCGGACAATGGTACAAATTTCATAGGCGCTAGTAAGTCTTTGCTAAAGGAGTATTCGTTATTTCTTAAACAATCCTCCAAGGATATAACAGATAAATATGCAATTAATGGACTTGAGTGGAAGTTCATTCCACCTAGCGCCCCACATATGGGAGGTTTATGGGAAGCTGGCGTTAAAAGCTTCAAAATCCACTTCAGGAAAATTGCAGGCGCACATAAATTTAATTTTGAAGAGTTCTCTACTCTGCTTGCGCGAATAGAAAGTGTTCTAAATTCACGACCAATATCACCGATGTCAGAAGACCCAGATGACCTGCAGGCCCTTACTCCGAGTCATTTTCTGCGCGGTGCACCTTTGGTATTCGCGCCAGAAATACCGCCTGACAATTTGTCGTTATTGAATCGCTGGGAACGACTGAAAGCACTCCATCATAAATTTGGTCAACGATGGAAAAATGAGTACCTTCAGGAGCTACACAAGAGGTACAAATGGTAGAATCCACGACGGGATCTACAGACTGGTGATTTCGTTATCATCAAGGATGAGCTTCTTCCTCCATGCGACTGGAGGTTAGGCAGAATAGAAGCCGTACACGTTGGTCGGAATAAGCGCGTAAGAGTCGCTGATGTTAGAACATCTAGTGGCGTCGTGACCAGACCAATAGTAAAATTATGCATGCTCCCGTTATGTGAAAAGTCTGTAAATTAGTTTGTTCTTGTCCATACAATGTCGTGTCTATGTGTCCAAGGCAATTTTTTTGACCTTAATCTGCCTCTGCACAGTGGGGCAGAATGGAAATTTTTTGGAAATAAATCTGGCATTTCTAAACGGCTGATCCGATCGGGATAAAATTTGGCGTATTCGAGTTTAAGTTTTGAAGATGAACCCTGCAGATGCCCCAGGGACGGCGCTGTGGCGGCTCAAAGTAGGGTACCTACGACATGTAAAATTTTTAAACTCGTGCCATTTTTTTGTTTTTTCACCCAAATACAAAGATTTTTATATTTTGTGAAAGCGCTCGACGAGATCTTGATATTGATACTACTTATCTCTTATAATATCCGAGTTATAGGCATTTAAAAATTTAGTGATACAAAATTTACCATACCTTGGTCCGCCTTTTTTTGAATACCGGGCGTAATTTTGGACCAAATGGACTCAATTTTTTCTTGTTAGTTAGACAACAAAATTTCCAATAATATACAAAAAATTTCAGATCAATATTGTTTACAGATCCAAAAATATACGTTTTTTAATTTAAAAATTCAAAAAATTTTAGATTTTTGGCGTTTTTTTGCCAAAAATGTGTCTTAACTCTTTTATTAATAAAATAAAATTTTTATTAAGAACATATAACAATTTTATAGTTTTCTAAAAGGTATCTTTACGCAGAACGCTTTGGCGTAAAAAACTTGTCCTATTTTTTGAAAATGTTGCCAGTGCGTCCTTCCGAATATGACCTATTTTTTATCAAAACTTCAACTTTGGGCGACATGTTCTAAAATCCCAAAGCTGGGATCAGAAAACTGAAATGCAGTTTTGGAAACCTCAATATGTTTTCTATTTACTCCAAAAGTATTTTCCCAGCCCTGAAAGAAATGTGGACCCTATGGGCAAAAAAGTAAAAAATCCCATTTTTGGGATTTTCATTCCTATTTTTGGGAATTGCGGGATGCCCTTTGACCTTTTCAATTTTTTTTTGCATATTCTTATTTGAAATGACAAATTTAACAAGCGTTGAAAATTTCATTGAGTTTTGTTCATAAATAAAGATTTTGTCATATATTACATATTTGTTTAATTTCTAAAACTATGATTTATATCAAAATTTTAATAGGATCGCAGATAGCTACAACAATTTAGTCCATATTTATCCCTTAATATCATTTTTTAGTTAGATATGGAAATTCTCGACCCTTTACAAAAAATTTCAAGCCAATTACATTCAAAAATATGTTCATTTAAACCTGTGTCCTTTAATTTCATCTTTTTCATATTTTAGTATTAAGTATGACAGAACATACATTTGGTGTTGAATAAAATATTTGGACAATTTTTAAAAATTATTTAGTTAATTATTTATTATAATATTGTATATAAAATAAAAAAATTATAATTTTATTATGAGCCACGCACAACAACACCTAAATCACCCCACACAAATTACCTTTCCCGCCCACCGAAATATATAACACAATTTAATACAATATCATCAGTTAGTATAATAGCTTTTTTTATTTGAACTGTTTATCTTAAACATAATACAATTAATTCTTACAACCTACTTATATAGTTAATTCCTAACACTACTTATTTTCTATAAAATAATCTGTCATATCGGTATACATATCCAGAAGGTAATATAAGTCCATTTAAATCTTCCTTGTTTTGAGATGATAGAGTTTCATAACTAATCCATCTTTTTCGCATAGTTGAAAGAACAGGATCAGAAGATAGAAGTAAACTATTAAAAATATCTTCATTCTGTGATTGCCTGGAGCATTTTCTTGAGCTGAATAGTTGAACATGCTTAAAATCTCGATTCCTGGCTTCCTGGGCTTCTTCTGTTAACTCTCCAAGTGGAAGAATATTCGATTCAATTATTATTTGACCATGACACAATACTTTGTGTACTGTTGGTGTTAGTTCCCTCCATGGATACAGAGATACAAGTAATTTAGAAATTTCAGATGTGTATTCCCCAAATCGATTTTCATTAATTTTATGTTTACTATTCAGTGCCATTAAAATAGTGTTAACTCTTCGAAGCAACTCCTTGTCGATTCCAGTTATTTTTGAAGTAATTTCAAAATCACGAAAAAACCTTCTCGACGTATTACCGTCATTTGTACTACCGCAACTTGAAAGTGGTTTGTCGATGTTTAATCCCATCTGAACTTTAAATTCTTCTTGGATTCTGCTTTTTTCCGCAGCTCTCAGTTCTTTCAATTCTTCATTATTTTTTGTTGATTTAGTAGGATAGTTTGTTTTTTTTTTTCCTGGATCGCCTTGTATGATGGTAATATATTTGTTTCCTTTTTCATGCAGAGCTTTCCTTAATATTTGGTACTTATTTCGACTGAGACCCAGTTCCAACATAAGCGCTATTGCTTCCTCTTCAGTAAAATTTGATTATGATGTTGGAGTTGGTATACTTTCCACAATTCGCTTAAGTCGTTTTGGTGATGCATTAGGAAGAATAGTTGCAATATGTACGACATCCATATGTTGGTTTTCCTTTTTCAGCATTTCGTTAAATGTATCAGCAATTTCCTCATTTGAGATTGAAAAAAGTTTTTGTGTGACCCTCTTTTTTTTACCTTGAACATAAGTCTTCGTATGACTTGCAAGGCGCTCCTGTTGATGTGTTGTAAGTTGAGATTTCCGTAGTAGTTTCCATCCAACTACAAAATTTTAATCGAAATTTCTTTTGATTTCCATCCACAGACTTACTTTTTACATCAAAAAGTTTTCAATTTTTGATATGCCTGTTTTGTCTACTTTTCTACTATATGTAGTTTTTATATAATTTGAAATGTCTTCAATTCTTTCTGGCCCTTTTGAAGATATACTCCATAAAACGGAACACAACTCTTCGTACTTTAATGTAATCTTCATTGTAGATTTATTAAATATGGTACTTAAAATCTGAGAAGTTTACTTATATACCAATTCTTGTCATTTCCGATACAGGTATTCCAAAGTAAAAAATTACGAATTGTCTACCTATTAACATTTAGGACTATATTACTATAACCTGTAATTCAGTCATTGATATTTCTTATTAGTGAATGAATCGAAATTATCATTACCTGTATATTTTTACCTACATGATCATAAACGAAACAGAACGAAATGATCTGTCGAAAAAATTTAGGTAAAAAATAGTTATAAATTTTTGAAAATTTAAGCATAATAGGACCTTTCAATTATAAGGATAAGCAAACAAATAGAAAATAGGTAAATATAAGATTTAAATATGTGCTGTCATACTTAATACTAAAATATGAAAAAGATGAAATTAAAGGACACAGGTTTAAATGAACATATTATTGAATGTAATTGAGATATTGGCTTGAAATTTTTTGTAAAGGGTCGAGAATTTCCATATCTAACTAAAAAATGATATTAAGGGATAAATATGGACTAAATTGTTGTAGCTATCTGCGACCCTATTAAAATTTTGATATAAATCATAGTTTTAGAAATTAAACAAATATGTAATATATGACAAAATCTTTATTTATGAACAAAACTCAATGAAATTTTCAACGCTTGTTAAATTTGTCATTTCAAATAAGAAAATGCAAAAAAAAATTGAAAAGGTCAAAGGGCATCCCGCAATTCCTAAAAATAGGAATGAAAATCCCAAAAATGGTTTTTTAATTTTTTGCCCATAGGGTCCACATTTCTTTCAGGGCTGGGAAAATACTTTTGGAGTAAATAGAAAACATATTGAGGTTTCCAAAACTGCTTTCAGTTTTCTGATCCCAGCTTTGGGATTTTAGAACATGTCGCCCAAAGTTGAAGTTTTGATAAAAAATAGGTCATATTCGGAAGGACGCAGCGGCAACATTTTCAAAAAATAGGACAAGTTTTTTACGCCAAAGCGTTCTGCGTAAAGATACCTTTTAGAAAACTATAAAATTGTTATATGTTCTTAATAAAAATTTTATTTTATTAATAAAAGAGTTAAGACACATTTTTGGCAAAAAAACGGATGACCTCCGTCAACGTCTGCAACAACAGCAGCAGGTTATTCAACAGCAACAACTACAGCAGCAACAACTACACCAGCAACAACGCCAACGACAACAACGGCAACGACAACTACAGCAACAATCTCAGCGGCAGCCACAACGACGCCAACAACAACAGCGCCAACAACATCAACCACAAACCATAGCCGTTCCTCAGCCTGCGGCAACGCCAGCCTCAACCCAGGGGCTGGTCAACCAAATCGTTTCGGCCCTCAGCCAACTCACCGGGTCGAAAATTGCACCAGTGCAAGGAGGCCGGCATGTCGAAGTCCGGTCAGGCCTCGTTGAAGACGATTTGATCGATCTCCATGACGATCTTATCGACTTCGACGACGGCCTTACCGACCTCGACTGAAGGTCTCCAAACACTTCCTAAATTGCCATATTTTAGGAAGTGTTGCGAGCAAGCCAGGCTCGGCGCCGAAGAAGATCGGCTGTTATTATTAAAAAAAGATACGAACCCGAACGACTCCCGGTCAAAGGTGTTTTTTAAATTAAAAAATAAATAAATAAACAAAAAAAAAACCGCACTCCCAGTGCCTTAAATATTTGAAAACAAAAAAAATACAAAAAAAAGAAGTGTTTCAATTCCCACCAACCAACACGTAAGTAGAAATAAAATTCTCGATTTTATTTGTGTGCACTGTTCAATTCTGTTATTGAACAACTTTGTTAATTTCTTAACAAAGTAAAAACAAAAGCAACAAATCTCCAAAATAAGAGTTGGAATTTGTT